GCGGCGGTCCGAGCGGCGCTGGCCCGGCCCCACGCGTCGGGCCTGCCGCGGGCGCCCGGCATTCGTTCCAATCGTCACTTTGCGGGCGTTTCCCTTTCGCTATAGCGTTCGGAGCTTGCTTCGGATGCAAACACACACCTGGGGGTGGCAAGGGAGTTGGGGAGTGCCTGTGCCTGCTCTTCACTCGTTGCGGGCAACGCAGGGCACAGCACACGCCCTTGAACTTTGCAGCGCACGGCGGCCGCTGCCGCGGCACTGCATTAGATCCCATCATCAGTCTCGCCGCCCCATCATGACACATCATGACTCTTTGTGATGTCACCTTTTAAACAGCCGCGCCGCGCGGGCTGCTGAGCGGTGCACTGCGCGGCAACGCCGGCGCGCGCGGCCGTCGGAGCGGCGCGCCTCTCGTGACTCTGCGCACCTGCGGTCCTATGCGGCGATGTCTGTCCCGGGCCGAGCTGGCGCACCAGGCGCCGCCGCCCGCCCGGCCTGGTGTGCGTGCACGGACGTGCCTCGCAATTTGCAGAGCGAGGTCCAGAGCGTGGGACCTGCGGGGCGCGCTGCCCGCGTCATCCTTGGGCGTTTGTCCATGAGCCCGGGCCGCGGGCCGCCCAGGCGGGGTGCCTGGCTGCGTTGGGAAAGGACGGGCCCGTCTTCTCTGCTCTAATAACATCACGCAAGGGCCCATGGCGCTTCGGCGCCCGTGTCGACGCTGGGCCGCCCGGGCCCTGCTGCCGCTGCCCTGCAAAGAACACTTACATCAAGGCTGTCCGGCGCCCCTCTCAAGTGGCCGCTTTCTCGCGTTGGTCAACGGCCCACCCCCGGCTCAGCAACCACCACGCTGCGTGACCCCCTATTGCTGCCTTTCGAAATTGCCGGTTGTTCTATTTTGCGCGCGCCGCCTCGCGTCCTCCCAGCAGCGCCTGCCGGCTACGCATTGCGTGCTCTCGCGTGCTTTTCCCACCCCCGTCGCCTGCAAACCGACCTCACAATCCCGTCATTCGCGTCCCCCCTCCCGCGCTCAAAGAACCATCGCCCGCGCGGGCGCTCGCTTGCGTGCGGCACCCCCGGAGTGCTCCTGCCGTCCCCGCCGATTGCTGCCCCCGCCGATTGCCGCCTCCTGAGATTGCTGTCGCATGCGGGTCATCCGGCCGTTCGCCTCTGGAAGCTGGCCCACGTTCCTTGATCATGTCGCGCGTGTGAGCACGCGTGCGTGCGCACACATCCACGCACGCACTCAGACGCACATGCGCACGCACACGCACACGCACAAGCAAGCGGGGGTATCTCCCGCGCTCCTCCTGCCAAAGTTTTGGCAGCAAACCTTCCCGGGCAAGCAGGCCATCCTCGGATTCAAGGATTTTCTCCACTCTCACACTCTCACACACTCACATGAACACTCGCCCGTTACATGATCACACTCTCGATACATAAAACACACACACACACACACATACCTGTGCTTGTGTACAAATTTCGCCCTCCGCTTGGACACACGGCGGGCGTTGCCAAAGGGCTGCCGCTTGCTCGGCCTGGCTGGCGTGTGGGGGCGAGGCTTCAACCTTTTGGATACATGCCGGCCGACATCTTGTGAGTCATGACTCCCCCCTGAACCCTTGTTGGATGCAAAGGGCAGAGCTGCTAGGGCGGCGAGCCGCCACGCCTGCGGGCCCCAAGAGCCCCAGGCGAGCCCCAAGCCAGCCCCGGCCGCCCGGGCTTGATTCGAACGCAATAACCAGCCCCCGCGCGGCGCGCCCGCGGCGCCGTCGGGGCGTCGGCACGCCTCGCGCGCGCCCCGCGGCGCGCCGCGCGGCTTTCCTATCTGGCACCGGCGCGGCCGCGACCGGCGCCGCCCATCACGCCGCCCATCCCACCCCACAGACCCCCTCCGCTGCGGCTTGCACTGCTGCTCGAATTTCGCATTCCTGACCAGAAGTTCCGTTTGTTTCGCGCGCCTGCGGGCGCCAAGCCTGCCCCCCAGCGGCGGGCCCGCTTGCTGCGGTGGCAGGAAAGAAGGGGCGGGTGCTTCCAGCTAACGTGCGTCAAGAAAGCGGGGGACCCGAAATAGAGGGTTGTGGGGTGCAAGAAGACGGGGGTTTATTTGCGCGTTTCAAAAGCGCCACCATTGGGACTGCAACGCGGTATGGGTGCGTTGCGCCGATCCAACCGGCGCTTGTACGAGTGATCCATGAATTATCTGTCTGGCGTTCACACAAGTGACATATGAGTAATTTGTTTAGCGCTTGTACGAGTATCTCATGAGTAATATGTCTGGTGCTTATAGGAGTAACCTCTGAGCAACCTGTCTGGCGCTCATGCGAGTAATCTATTAATAATCTGTCTGGCGCTTGCGCGATGAGTTGTCAGTTAGCACCTGAGCTGCAGGCGGCGGGCTGGAGGGAGGGAACCGCAGCACTGGCCTCATCCATCCACGCACCCCCGCCAGGCTCACTCCTCGACCGGCCCCCTTAGGGGGCCCGTCGAGGAGGGCGCGGCGCTCTCAAGGCCCGATCAGCGGCGGAGGCGGGAGGTGCGCCTCCAACCGTTCAAGGCGGCGCGACCGCGGCCTCGCAGCGCGGGCGCGGCTCCGCTCCCGAGCGACTGGCAGGATGGGCCTGCAGCCCGGCCCCGGCCGGGCACCGCAGCCCGACCCTGGCGCCCGCTGCTGCTGACTCAGCGGGCTAGCCCTGGGTGCCGGCTGGCCGGTTGCTCCGCTGCCTCAATCCCTACGCACGCCCCGCCCCGCCCCGCTGCGCCGCGCCGCGTGGCCAAGGTGGGCGCAGTAGGCCGGAGGCGCAGCGGTGTTGCCCGGCGCGATCCTGGTATGCTGGACGCGCGGATGCAAGCAAGCACCACGCGCACACATACATACACATGCACGTGCGCGCGCACACACACACACACACATACACACACACACATGCGCGCGCGTGCACACACACACACACGCTCGTCTATGATGCGCCAACACAGCAGGCGGGCCCTTGTGCACACCCCTGCAGCCCTGCCCTGACACGATCCAGCAAGGACAGCCTCGCGCAACGCTTGGTTACAAAACGCGGCGCGTCGCGAATCACAGCGGCACAAGGATCAGGACGCGCGGTGCGGGCATGATTATGAAGGGGCGTGGGCGGGGGAGGGGGCTGGGGTGCAGTGAGGGTTCCAGAAAGGCGGTCGCTAGGGGCAGGCGGCACGGAATCACAACTGTGGTGCTGTTGACATGCTCGCGCCCGCAAAGCTGGCGAGGATCAGAGCACCCCGCCCGCGGCCGCGCGGCGCGCGGGGATGGCAGCGCAGCGCACGCGCTGGCGGGCTGGGGTGTAAGGCATGGGACCCCTCCTTGGCGCCTGCGGTCAAGGAGTGGCCCGGCGGCCGCTGATATGTACGATGCATGGAGGGTCGGGCCAGGCGGGGAGGAGAACGGGGGCCTGGCACAGCGCCTCCGCACCGCCCCCTGTTTGTGAGCCCCCAGACGACCCACCCAAACCCGGCCGCCCGCCCCCGCCCCCTTCCTCCGCTGCGGGCGGCGCCTCGCCCCCTCTCGGGCCGCATGGCGCGCCCGCCGCGCGGCCGCCGCCTCCGCTCCGCTCGTTCGAATCCGTCCTAAGATCATCCTTGGAAAAATCAACCTCGGCCTCCGCCTCAGAACCGCTCCCCCCAGTGGACGAACCAGTTGCCCGTCCCCGCGTTGCAGTCGCGCGCGTACTCGAAGCGGCACGCGCCGAGCGCCTTGAGCCCCACGCCGTAGCTGGCGCCGCGGCCGGCCTTGCGGTAGTACTCTGTGGGGCTGCCCTGGAGGGAGCGGCCGCTGCCCAGGTCGGTGCCATACTCCGCGAATGCGTAGACGGTGCCCGGCAGCTTCCGGCTGCCGGGGCGGAGGTGTGTGTGTGTGTGTGTATGTGTGTGTGTGTGAGTGTGTGTGTGTGTGTGTGTGTTGTGTGTGGCCCGTGCGCCCGGCCGCGCGGCCGGCTGCCCTGCTGGCTGTGGGTGGCGGCGCTGAGGCCCGACTCGAGCGCGGCAAACACCCCTGCCTAAACACACACACACACACACACACACAGTCGCACACACTCAAGTGCGCACACACACATCCACGCGCACACGCACACACAACACACACACACACACACACAGACAGTGGCGCGCACACGCATGCACGATCGACCGCCGACACGTGCTGTGCACACCCTCCCAC